GTTAGAATTCATTTTCCACCCCTTCCCCCCTATCCTGACCTGTGTCTACCCTGTCCTCACCATCTTCCCCCTTATGCTCTATAATTATCAAGTTAACCTGAGATAGAGAGGCAGGCCTTCAGTAAAGGATCTAGGTTTCAAAGTGGACCCCTAGCTAAACATGAACCAATGACTTAATCTCTAGATAATAAAAATAAAAAAGCAGACAGATAGGCGTGGAGTTGGATAAACTGTTCTGATATTATTAAGTCATCAGCCTGTTATATTCAGAGACTGAGAGCCCTGGAGGACGGAGGGAGTAGCCGGGGGGTGGGGTGGGGTGGGGGACACTCAAAGGTATTGGATGGGGAATGAGTATTTTTGAGAACTGAGGTGATTCAACCTGAAGGCCAATTTAATAATAGTCTTTAAGCCTCGGGACTGGTTATATGTGGAGACCAGTTGTTCCCCCATCTTATCTGAGAATAGAATGGGAGGAGATGCAGTTAGATTATAGGCAGATGGACTCTGGATAGACTAAAGAAAGGACTGCCAGGCCAGGAAGGTAACTCATCCTGAAAGGCCTGAGTTGTAGCTGTTCTCTCGGTGGGCGGGGCTTTCTGTGGGTGGGTAGGAGACTCTGCCTCTGCCCTCAGGTTTCTGTCTAAAGTGGACAGCATTTTGACAGAGGGACAGGGGCATGCCTGGGATGACCTTCCAGAAGCTATGTTAAGTGTTAACTATGTTTCAGTGTTAAGGCTGTGGTTTCCCCATTTTCCCCAACCTCATGTAGCCTGTTGTAAGTGTGTCCCACACTCTCCTCTCGACTGTAGGGGCAGAACCTTGGGTTTCTTGGCACTGCCCCAGGAGCCCCTGGGACACAGAAGGCAGGGGCGAGAGAAAGGCAGACACCCAGTCAGGAGTCCTCCAAGCTTTCTGCTAGGGGTCTTCTTGTCCTGTGTGTGGTGCCCTGTCCTGATTTACCCCTATGAACTGGCATGAGCCTTTACAAGAATGCTAGAAACAAGACTCCTGGGTTCTCCATCCAGCTTAAGCCACTGGGCCCGCCCCGTCCCGCCATGCTCAAGAACATGAGAAGTCCCTCAGGGACATTCTGGGGGAGCTTGTTGGCTTTCTCTGTTTTTGCAGCTGCTGATCTCTTTTCCCTCCCCTCACTGTCCCCCTACTTGGCCCCTGCCTTTCCCACCCACTCAGGCATGGAGCACCTGGAGAATGGGCCCAGTGTGTCTGTGGACTACAACACCTCTGACCCCCTGATCCGCTGGGATTCCTATGACAACTTCGGCGGGCATCGAGATGACGGCATGGAGGGTAGGTGGGACCCAGCGTCTTCCAGCCCCTCTCCAAACCTCACAGTTCCTGATCATGTGGCCTTGGTTCTCTTGGCCAGCTGTCAGGAGACATGGGTTCAGAGGGGAGGCAGGGGAGAAGTCCATGCCCCTCTGAGAGCTCACAGTGGGGGCTCATAAGGCAAATACTGAAAGTGTGCAATAGCAATGAGGACAGAGCCGAAGAATGCAGCAAGATGACCCCACAGGGGTGTCATGCAAGTGTATGATTGCTGCTAGATAAGTCTCCTGGACAGCCAGTCTTCTGAGGTGGGCAGTGGGGTGGATTCTGGAGAGCTGGGGTGGTCTGGGAAGGCTCCTTGGAGGAGGTAGTCTTGAGTAGAGTATAAGATTCTTCCCTGTGCTGCAATCACAGCATTTTTTTTTTTTTTAGTTCAGATTAATATGAGGGTATGTACGATAGGTTACTTTGTTTGCATTTGTAAGGTAAAGTCTGAATTGTAATTGAGTCCTTCACATAGGAGGTGCACCATATACCCCTACATTGTATCCGACAGGCGAGAGCTCCCTAACATAGCATTTCTATTAAACTCACTGTTGGGGTTCTTCAGGGTCACAACACCGGGAACGTAGATGCGGGATCTGGGGCCTATGAGCTTTCATCAACAGCCAACAAAAATGTTTTGAGCTGGAAATAAACCGATAGGCTCTGAAATTTGAAAAGAAAGCTGCAGAATTGAAATTAATACATGTTTAATTTAGCTACAAAACCTAACATTATGTCAGATGGGCAACCGCAGCTCAAGTCAATGCTCGAGAGTCATGTATGACTTCTGGTTATTGATGTGGTCCTCTGAACACGTGTGATGGGATGTGGGGTGAGGCCCTTCTGGAAATGAACACGCCTGGAGCTGGCGAACTCCCAAGATGCCCTTTCTTGGGTTTGGCCACAGGCTTGTTTTCTTGACTGGTCAGAGGACCACAGAATGTTGGAGTTGCAAGGACCCTCAGGATAGTCTGGCCCATTCCTCATATTTTCATTTGGGGTAATAAAGACCACCCCTACCCCAAGACAGGACCTCCTGAGTTACCCCTGTGACTCAAGATGTACCCTTTTAAGGGTGCCAGCACCCAGCCTTTGTGTGTCCCCTCCCAGCCAAAGCCAGTCCTGAGTGGGCTGCGCTGTCCTGAGGATCTGGACCATAGCAGAGCTGGGTTAGGGAGACCTGGCTCATAACCTTCACTCACCTTTTTTCCCCTGGACCACCTGCCTCCAACTTCTCTGTCCAACATTTTGGATGTAATGACTCCACTCTGAAGGTCTTTAGGCCTTTTCTTGAACAAAAGATTCTCCCTCAGATTTTGCAGCCTCTAGAATGAGCAATAAATTTCAGAGAGAGCTGGGATGAGGGAGGGTGGTCAGCCTGGAACTTAGGGCCTGCCATGAGCACGCTCTTCATGTGCAACATTGCACTTTGCTGGCTTGTTCTCATGCCCACCTTGGCTCCTGCCCCTTCCTGAGGTGCTTCTCCTTGCCTCCTCCCAGAGTGGCCCACACCAGTCAGATTGCCTGGACACCCCACTAGGGCCCTCCTTACCCACTGAGGTTGCTCCCTGAAAGCACTCCTCTTCTCCTACACCCAATCCCTGAGCAGTGAGCGGCTGAGAAAGCAGAGAGTGGTATGAATTTGTTCTGAGGGACTGATGGCTGCCAGCCTAATTGATCATTGTGCTGGGGATGTTTGCATTTTTAACAAGAACACTTGGCAATTTGAAGGAATTTTTACTGTCTCCCCATCTCTCCCTGGTGCGGATTCAATGTGAGGATAAATGTAAAAACATTTAGCAAACTATAAAGTGCCAGGCAAATAAAAGGCAAAATAATTAAGGGAAAGAAGGAGGAGGTATGGGAAGGATGGGGTCTGGGGCCTGGTTGGCTATGGGGGAAGAAAGCAGAGCTGCTGGTCAGAGCACCTGGGGCCCAGGGACCGCAGGAGGCAGGGTGAGGGGATAGGGACGGGTGAGGGTGGGTCCAGATGCTGCTTCTAACCCCTTACCCTCCTCCTTTTCCCAGTGGGCCCTTTGGCCAGTTAAAGGTCAGCTCAGCCTGCAGTGACAGAGGAGCCCCTGTCTGGGCACTGGAGTCTGGCCCTCTGCTGGGAGGGAGGGGCTCATGGCTGTGCTGCCCTCTCCCCTGGCCACCCAGGGCTGGGCCTGCTCAGGGAGCTGTGCCCAGTAAGAGCCCACCTCTGTTCCCACCATGTGCCCCTGCTGGACTGCATCCCACCAGGGACAGGAGAACAAGCTGGGACCCACTCTGGGGCAGGAGCTATGACCACATCCCCATCCTGCTCCTGGCTGATGGCACTTCTAGAAGGTTCTAGATTCTAAGGCCCAGAAGTAAAAGCATTTTCTTTTGACCAATGGCCAAGAGAGGGAAGCAGGAGGTTGGTGAACTCCTGAGATGCCCTTTAGTTGTAGGTAAGGCCTCTCTAGTTGTGGGTAAGGCCCTATGACTCCCCACGTGCTAGCTGGGGTAAGGATGCCTAACCCCCAGGATGTGAGGGTGCTCAGGAGATGGTTCAAGCTGGAGCCTGGGAGGGAGGGGACTTGGCCATTCCCAGGAGAGGCCTAGGGCCAGGGATGATGGTCTCAGGGGTGACGTGGTGCCCAGTGTGGCTTTGCCCGCTCTCTGCGGAGGTCTCAAACCAGGCAAGGCAGCTTGCCACGAGGATGCAGGGGAGGACCATGTGTTTTAGAGCTGGCTGCCTGGGCTCAAAGCCTAGATCTCCCCTTTTTAGCTGTGTGGCCTTGGTCAAGTTATTCTGCCTCCTTGCTGACTTGGTTTCCTCACTGCATTCTCAGCCCTCATGAGAGACAGTATAGTACAGTGGTAAGACATGTAGCTTTTGGAGCCAGATTATTGGCTTTAAGTCCGTTGACAAGATGCCATCCCTTGGGGCCTCAATTTGCCCTGCTATAACATGGGGCCTCAGTCAACAAGTCACTTCAAACACCTGGTGGGCTGCAAGACCTAAGGATGGGATGCCATGCATCAGTGGTGACCGTGGCTGGCACCCCAGGGGTCTGTGGATGTGACCAAGGGAGAAGGCATGGCTCTGCCACATACCAGCCATGGTGCCAAGAACTGGGAAGTCACACCTCTCACTTGATACTTGCAACCACACTCGGGGGTGGGTTTGCTATGGCACAGAGGAGTTTGTATCCTGCCCAAGGTTGCCAAGCCAGTTGAAGGCAGACCTACCTATGTGTGAGGCTGTCATATTGCCCACTGTGCTCTCCTGAGTTGGCTGATGTCCCCAGGGGCTGGCTCTGGGCATCTGGCTCTGTGGCAGTACCTAGGGGCCCACTGAGCTTAGAAGAGCATCTGTCCCCTCTGACTCCTGCCTCTCACCCCTGGATGGAGAAGGTCACCCTGCTCTGACCCTCAGAAAGAGGAAAGAGTTAGATAGGGGTGGGGTATGTGGAGCTCAGTGCCCCAGAGACTGCTGGGCTTGCCCGCAGCAGGTGTTTGGCAGGACTTCAGTGCAGGGAACAGCTGAGTCCCCAGTCTCCACCCCATAGATGAGGGTGTGAACTGCTTCTACAGGAATGCCCTTGGCGGGGGCCAGCTCCTCCAGATAGGTGAAGGGGAGTGAGTCTGCAGTGAGTCTGGCCATTTCTGGAAGTGGCCCACTGTTGCCTCTTCTATTTTGGGTCTGCTGGGAAGGCAGGGAGAGGGGGAGGAAAGCAGAGACCAGCCCAGTCGCTTTGGAGCCCACCAGGTGACTCGGGGAGGAGGGGGCACTGAGTTGGGCAGTTGGGAGCAGACACCATCTGTGGCCTGCATCCTCTCAAATGACCTGTGTCCCCTGGCAGTAAGGGGTGGCCAGTAGTGAGCTCAGAGTTCCTGGTCCCCAAGAAAGCCCTCTTGAGACCCTGACTCAACCATCCTTGCAGGAACTGCTATATGTTTAGCTCTTTGCTAAGAGCTTGCTGCCTGCAGCCCCTCCCTCACCCTAGCTCCAAGTTCAAGTCCAGGGTGTGCAGCATTGTGACACTGAGACCTCTTCCACTTCTTCAGGATGTCTCTGGTCAATCTCAGCAGCTAAATGAAGGACTTGTGGCTTTCTGTGGGCAGCCCTCCCAGGCAGAGGGGTCCAGGCCTGTCATAAAGCCTGTGCAGTGTTCTCCCATAGGGACAGCACTGAGGCCTGAAAAGAAAGGGACTTGCCAAGGGGCAGGGGACCCCATGTATGGAACCCAGCTTGGCAGTATCTCAGCTGAGACTGCCCAACCCCATCCCCTGGGTGAAGACGCTGGAAGTGCGCAGAGGTGAGCGTTCTCACCCGGGGCATGAGTCAGCAGGGGAGGTGATTTTTGAATCCAAGTCTCTTTCCAGCTCCCTTGGAGCTCAGTGTATCAGCATCCCCTCTCCAGCCCCATAGGCAGCTCCTTGTTGTCCAACTCGCCAAATCCTTAAAATGACCACACAGGGTGGCCTGTTTCCCTGGGGACAGGTCTGGGAAATAAAACCATGGAAGAGAGAGAAAGAATCGTGCCCCTGGGCAGTGAACTGGGGCTATGGTGGTGACAGATGCTTGGGACTGTTGGCTCCCCTGCGTCTAGGCCAGGAGGAGGGAGGGATGCTGTGGACAGCGGCCAGGGAGCAGAGAAGCACCTGCCATCCCAGGGACTCCTTACTCTAGGAGCAGTACCCTGTGGACGGGTATATTAGTCTCCTCGCGCAGCCACAGCAAAACCTCACAGATTGGGAGGCTTATCTAACAGAAATGTATTTTCTTACTTTTCTGGAAGCTAAGGTCTGAGATCAAGATATAAACAGGGTTGGTTGCTCTGAGGCCTCTCTCCTTGGCTCATGGATGCTGCGTTCTCCCTGTGCACACGTGTGATCTTCCCTCTGCATGTGTCCGTGTCCTAATCTCTTCTTGCAAGGATGCCAGGCATATTGGTGTAGGGCCCACCCTAATGACCTCATTTCGCCTTAATTACTTCTTTAGA